GTTCTCGTGAATTTGTTCATGAAGCTTGTTCACCTGAAACTGGTGATAAGAGGCCCTCTTGTTTGCACCTACCATTTTCCAGTAAAGGTTGTTCTGATGGTATTGGGAGGCTTCCAGTTGGTGTCTGAGAGCAGCAATCTCGTGCCAGGGATTAAACGGGGGTCTAAATGTGGGAATGGGTTGATATTGCCACATCCCTCCATTAGGCCCAGGGTTTGGTCTGCTGAGGTTCTTCCCATTTCTCTCTCTCTCCATGTCCTCCTTTGCATTTGAAATGGGGAGGGATTCAGCCTTTTCTTTTTCAGAAGTGGCTTCAGTGTTTTTTTGCATTTCTTCTTTTTCTGGGTTTGCTCCATCACCCATGCTGTTTTGAGCTTCAAGAAGAGCCCGAGCATATGCCCGAGTAATTGGTCTTCTTGGTTCTTCAGCCACTCTTTTCTGTTTTTGCTTTTTTTGTTTCTTTGGTTTCACAACCATTTCCTTTGGTGGTTGTGCCACAGGAGACTTTTCAGTATTTGGTTGTGCGGCTTTATCAACCTCAGCTTTTGGTCTTTCCTAAGACTTTTGGTGTGACCAGCCTCTAACCAGCCAACAAAAACATGTGTTCATAATACAAAACAAGTTTACTTTGTGAAATGTTAAAAGGTACAAAAAATAAAACAATAAAATAAAACAGATTTATTGTCTTAAATTTAGCCAGTCCATCTTGTTTTGAACATGACAAGCTAGTTTCCAGTCTCATGTGTGAGATGATTAGACTTGTTTCAAGTATATATTACTTTTTTTTCTTAGTTAGTCTGTAAATCTAAAAATGAACCATTTTACATTTATTTCGGGGCGATCGTGGCTCAAGAGTTGGGCGTTCGTCTTGTAATCGGAAGGTTGCCGGTTTGAGCCCCGGCTTGGACAGTCTCGGTCGTTGTGTCCTTGGGCAAGACACTTCACCCGTTGCCTACTGGTGGTGGTCAGAGGGCCCGGTGGGGCCAGTGTCCGGCAGCCTCGCCTCTGTCAGTGCTCCCCAGGGTGGCTGTGGCTACAATGTAGCTGCCATCACCAGTGTGTGAATGTGTGTGTGAATGACTGAATAAAATAAATAATGAATGATAATAATAATAATAATAATAATAATAATTTAAATGAATAAAATACTGCACATTTATGAATGACATCTTTACCTATAGATTTAAGATTCATTTCCGACAGATTATGATTAATCATATAAACTATTGTACGTTGGAGATGTGAACTTACTTCCAATTATTTATGTTGTAAACTATTAATATAAATCAGGTCACTTTAACCTTGCTGAACTGAGGTAACTTTTTTTCTTATGGATGAAGTGGCCTAATCTGAGCTTTGATCATTTGTTGAATGATTTGACAAGCAGTTGGGCACTATTAGTTTTAGTTTGAAAACTAGTTTGGAATAGCCTTGTCATAAATTTTAAGTGAGCAATTTTATAAGACTTAACCATGGAATTAACACAGGCTCTACTTAGTCTGTCTTTTGCACCTTATCCAGGTGTCTGATTGCATAGACTTTGGATCCATGGCAGGTGGTGTCTTGACTCAGTTTTTCTTTTGACCCAAACATGTTTTTCTGTCCTCAGGGAAAAGTTCTGACAAAAGCTACACCAGAAAATCATGGAGGGTTTGGATGATTGCAACCTTTCTGTTCTAAATGGTAGGCCAAGCATATGCATATTTATGCAAATTAATGTCTAAATGAATTTTGTGTTGCACACACTGACAGTGATCCTACATAGAATCAGTTTTATGTGGTCAAATCAATAAAATATTTAAATTACATTTAAATGTATTTGACAAAATGACCATTTGGAATTGTTTCCTTTTTTGGACAGTGACATGTATACATTTAAAGAGATGTACAACTTTGACATTTCTGAAAGTTACTGACTTTTATTTACAGCTGCCAACATAGACGAGGTCTTGCTCCACACCCTCAGTAGGGGCGATTTAAGGGACCTGCTTCCAGGGCCTGAACATTTTATGAGGAGGAAACAGTTGTGGGCTCAAGTTCACAAAGAGGCAAGTTTTGCCGCTTTCGATTTAAAAACACCTAGCACGACACATTTTGTTTAGGACTCCTGTAATATAACTATTTTTGTTTTCTTATTTAGGATGAAACTAAAGAAAAGGCGTCTCATGGATATCTCACCATGCGACCAGGGAGAAGATTATGATGCAGATTCAAGTGGTGGATCAAACATGCTTTTGCCACCAAGGAGCAGTTCTGGTGACAACAGTTGTAAGTGAAACATTACAATTATGGCAATAATATTGAATATTCAACTGAAAGTTGATTGAGTTCTTTCTTTCCTCTTCTGTTTAAACATAGCCCTGTTCAGAGCACTACCAACTCTCTTCCCATCATGAGCTGCACCACCCAAGAAGATGGGACATGCCAGTGATTCATGTCCTTCAGGTCTGGGTTTCTTCACATTTGTTATCAAATAATGCCCCTAAAGCCTTCACTTTAACAGTTTATTTGGTATATGGCCTTTTTATCCATGCCAAGTCCTCCAACAATGTAGTTTGTATTTGGAAAAGTGTGCAGAAATCTGAAATGGCACAAATACTGATAGATCAAAAATTTCAATAAAAATAATAAAGAAAATCATAAAGAAATTAAAAACAAAATGGAAATAATTACATATTTAACTATCACAGGTGCAGTACCTTTGTCATTTCCTAAAGTGTGTAAAGACATAATCCTAACGGTGATGAGGCAGAATTTATTACATTTTTCAATGGCATGAATATTAGGGAATTTCTATACAGTATTTGTCAATCTAAAGAAAAATAACATTAATATGATCTGTAGCGCATCTGATCTATGGTTGTCATCATTCATATATCACCCCAAGGGTGCACCCCAAAGGGATCAATAAAGTGAAGTCTAAGTCTAATACATACTTGTGGTTAAGTATTTGAACGACCCTGATAGCTTTGGAGTTTCTCCGTACATTGTAAAATTTTCTTTGTTTTTCTTTTTGCCAACAGAAGATCCAGCGTCAGCCCTGTTCTGCTCTTAGAAGGGTCCCGTTGTCTTATTGCAGTTGGAACCACTCCCATCACCACATTTGCCACAGATGACCTTGGAGAAGGTTTGCTGTATCTTATGGCATACTACTACACCCTGCATCTCACCTATCCTAAATGTGTGGCAACGCTTCTGTCTGTCATTCAGACTGAAGTGTTAAAGGACAAGGACCACAGGCTCATACAAAAAAGTCATGGCAGGCTGTAGAAATTTTTATTGAAACGTAGAGCTGTTTGAGCAAGATTAGGTCTGTGTTGGATGGTTTGGACCTGATAGCTTTGAAGTTGCAATTTATTTTAAAAATTCTTATTAATGTAATACAAAGTACTTTCTTTCTTTAAACACATCTGTTCTGCAAATTCTGTTTAAAATTGCAAATGCTCTTTGTATTACATTTTATATGTTAAGTAGCTAACTGGTTTAGCAGTTCTAAAAGGAACACAAAATAACAATGTTACACTTACAATGTGTCTTTAAATTTTTGTGTACTATGATTGACTGAAATATTTGTTTCTGTGTACATGTTGTTCATGTACACAGTATACTTTGCCTGCTTTCATTTGGCTTTATTTTTCTTATTTTGAGAATTCTTACCAAGTGTAATTATCTTACTGCACTGGCAGATTATTTCACTAAATTTCAGGGTTCGTACGGGTGCTTGAAATCCTTGAAAATGCTTGAATTTTAATGTTGTCTTTTCAAGGTTTGAAAAGTGCTTGAATTTCAGATGTGGTGCTTAAAAGTGCTTGAAAGTGTAACTGTATTTCATTCACCTGAAAATAACAGATTGGCAAGATAAACAGTTTTTAAAGGTGAAATTTAGAGGCCAAATCAAAAGTAGTCAAAAACGGCCAATTATACCCTGGACCCCAGCTTTTTGGAGTATTTGAAATAATGGTAATATGAGTGATCCATATGGTCACAAAGAATAGCCACTTGTTTCTGTGCTACCAAAGTTCCCCAGCTTTCATTCAAAATGTGTTTATCGTCAGCACCTGCACATTAAACTACTTAAACATTATAAATGTCTTCAAGCTCACACTGAGGCCTGTGGGGCACAATCAGCCACTGAGATAGTTCACACATTTATATGTGTATTTGTATATGAATATTTCATACTTTAAGGCTGCCTGTTTATTTAAGGGAGATGAACAAAATACATTGGGCTTGTACATAATAATATCACAGATGATAAATTTAATAGATTTTAAGTAGATGCTTGTGCATCCTTAAAGCATTATATGTTGAATTGAACTATGTGATCTGTTCAAAGCCTCTCAGTGCTGTTCTCCAGTCTGACTGTACATGATGTTATTAGCACAAACACTTTAAAGGTGACGTTTAGGACTTCAACAATAATACAGGCAGCAATGTAGTTATCAATAAAACAGTTTAATTGGGAATTAACTTAAAAAACAAACAACAAACAAACATCTGTCTCCTATTTTTTGTCACGCAGGAAAGAAGCATCAATTTCTGATGCGACGACTTATTTAAAATGATTTAATGTACTAGTTTTTAGATTATTGATTTTTTCCTTAGAATAAGTGTTTTATGCCTGTTTTCGTCAACATTTTGCTTAGAACAAGTGGTTAAAGCTTATTTTAGGTTTCAATTGCCATGATTGGTTGCCTGAAATAAGTGTGTAAGGCTTATTTTAAGATTTAACTATCTAATTGTTCCCTAGAATAAGTGGTTAAAGCTTATTTTAAGTTTCAATGTTCTGATTTGTTGCCTGGAATAAGTGTAAAAGACTTATTTTTCACCGGGAGGAGGCCCCGGGGCAGATCCAGGACACGCTGGAGAGATTATATCTCTCGGCTGGCCTGGGAACGCCTTGGTATTCCCCCGGATAAGCTGGAGGAGGTGGCTGGGGAGAGGGAGGTCTGGGCCTCTTTGCTTAGGCTGCTGCCCCCGCGACCCGGCCCCGGACAAAGCGGATGAAGATGGATGGATGGACTTATTTTTTAGCTTTATTTAAATCTAGATATTCTGTTCTTGTTTCAAGAAATCTTAATAAGAAAAAAAACACTTACCCCACTGGCAGATAATTTCACTTGTTTTAAGCAAATCTTCACCAAAAATAAGTGTATTTATCTAGTATTAAGGAGGTGGGTTTTTGCAGTGTAGGTTCACGTGGGACCACTATGCCCTGTCATATGATATCAGCTTATATTAGCAAAGAAGGACAATGGCAGTATTTCACAGAAAGGCTTGTGATGCACTGTGACCTCAGTTCGTGTTTTAGGCAGAGATTGATAGTAAAATGTCGTAGTGGTCATTACACCCCAGCACACAGCTTGTATTCAGTCTGTGTCAGACGATGTCTTTAGTATCGTTTGGAAGCGGTGATTTTGTTTCAGCTGCTGCATTAATCATATTGATCTGAGTGTTTTTGTGGCTCCCTTTACAAAGTTTCGACATGTGTAAACATCATTAGGGAAGCTCTGTGTCTAACTATAAACAACCAATCAAAAGTGAAAGCCACTGGAAACCCTGCTGTACAGGCTTTCTCATTAATCACTGAACACTCTGGGTTTTAGACTTAAATCTAGACATGCTGGAAGAAGCAGACTGAATTTCAGGAGTCTAAAACATTGGGGGACTTGAGTTTCTTAAGCAGTTAAAGTGCTCAGTCAAAAGTTTTAGTGTCTCAAATCTTTTCAATTACAGGGACAATTAGTACCTGTAATAACTTTAAACATTAACTGTACATATTAGATTGGATTCAAAGCACAAAACTCATCTCAATTAAGACACTACTCACTTATATATATAGATTTGATCTTCTTTCAATGTTAAAATTCACCCAACGATTACTTCTGATTAAGATAATTACACTTTCATGTGCGGTTATGTTTGTTTTTATATTATATATGTTTTATATTTATAACTTGAGACATTATTTACACATACATTGGAAGTATATTATTTAAGTACATCAAGCCTTAATATAGCATATGCTTCATATGCTATTATTAGTTCTGCATTTCCTGAGATTAAAGATTACCTTTAGCCAAAATGCTGATCACACATTACACATAAAACCCATAACTCTCCTACTGATTAAACATTTAAAAAGCTCTTTTCGCCATATGAAAGTCGTAGCTGTGAAAACACGGTTGTTTAAAGACAGCTTTTTCCCTCGGAATGATTATTCCCTTTGAGTACGTGTCAACCTGCGCATAACAAATGTGAAAATGTTACCAAAGCTTATGAATATTTAAGTGTACATGTGCAAACTTCTTGTTACATAATCTGAGTTTAGACAAGTGTTGAATGTTACAACAGCTGTCACACGATCACAGCACAATATAAAGTTACTTAGTGCTTTAAAGTCAGGTATCTTAGTGTTAGCTCCAGGATCAAGGCTCCTCAGACAGCTGTGGATGTTGACCCTGCCGATCCAGAGGTGGGCGTCATGTGGGTCGTCAGCGGTGTCGATCCCTCTCCTTCCGCCGCGTTGCCTTCTATTAGACCTTGCCGGTGCAGGTTGAGGATGGAGTCTGCGATTATTCGGGCTGTTTTCTTCTGATATCCTCCGGATGTCATCATGAGTACGGGGATCCCACGACGCTTCGCAGCCCTGAACACGAGCTCATCTCTCTTTATAATGCCCTGGCAGAGAAGAAGGAGAAGAAAGTTAGAAGAAGAGGCAGCCTGTCCATGCTTTCAAGCACTACCTTCTCTGGATCCTCTGGACTTCTTTTCTCCTGAGAGAACAGGAAGATCTGGCCCAAAAACACACGCTAACATGAACAGACAAAGAGCTGCAAACAAAACTACACTTGTCATTGGTGATAATCTCCCATCTGTTGCCACTTTCAGGAAGCATCTTACAAAGGCTATTTAACTACCAACACGTTACGGTGAAGGTCAAAAAGGATGGTGAGTGTCCCAGAGCCTCATTTGTAGAATATTGAAGCATTACAATCACACTAATGGAGCAGGCATGGAACTCAAGAAGCACTGTGTCACACATATGCCTCATACTCCTTATTTCATGTACCAAAGCACCCGCCCACTTTGGAGGTGTACATAAGCCATAACATCTCCCTGTGCCACTGCCCTGCATCACTGCTGCCCATCCTCCACCTGTAGCTCCCAACTCATATTTACTCATCAATCCTAAATTTCTGTGTCATATTTGCCAGGAGTAATGAACCTAGACACCAAACTTGAACTCTAGTATATGACTGTAATAAATTAATGTGGCAAATGTGATTTGTTCGACTTAAATACTCATAAAAATGCCCATGCAAGGACTCGGCAATTACATCTCAAAGGCAAACTTGAGTGACAATTTTGGCCTCCAGCAATTATGAAAACAGAATAAATGTGAAAAAAATGCACTTTTGTGCAAATATTTTAACTAGGTCCTCTTGCTTTGGTGGTTTTCAAGTTCACAAATAGTTGTGCTAAATGTTCAACATTACAACTGCTAACCAGGATAACTGTGATTATAAGTTTAGCTACCCAACAGAGAACACTAATGTTTATTAGAACTTCCTTCAGTAACACACTCCGGTGTGTTACTGAAGGAAGTGTTATGGTTGGATTAGGGTGATTTATTTTAGGATGTATGGCTAACATTAAATGTGTTAGCTGATATTAGAATAGCAACAAACAGCTACCACTTTTTATGCAAGACAGTGCATCTCATTGATAAAAGATTTGATAGAACATGCTGATAACATTGACATGTCTAGTCCAGAGTCCTGATCTGAACCCAAGGACAAAGTCATGAAATCCACTACACTGAGTTACTGAGCTCTGGAACAGCTAGAGGAAGAAGCACACATGCATGTCTGTGGAGGGATTCAAATAGTTTGTGTCAACACTGTCATTTATTATGGAACATCTGTTAAAACACTGAGTGATTTGGAACATTATTAAGCATGGCAGAAACACATGTTCAGCCAGAACTTCAAATAATAATTATTTAAGCTGCACGCTGCTTTTTTTTAAAAGGACATTTACCAGTTTAAATGAACAAAATAGGTCTGCAACATACAGGAGTGTGCCACCACAACTAACACATCCTGCACATTTACCTTATTTGCGCCAATTACTTTCTGGGATGCACAGGATCACTGGCTGGAAATCTCTGCACAGTAAGTAATAAATTCCAATTTGGCTCATTTTGACCAGCTCTCAGTACAATTTGAAATTTCCTGATAAATTAGTTACATGAAGAGCCCATGTGGCCTGATTCAGCTGAGCCTGCCAGTTACACATTTTTCTTTCCTGCTACTAAAGCAGTGCAGATTCATTCAATATTAGACACGAATGGGCTGGAATCATAGGCCTGGGCATGTTATAGTTCAACACAAAAGAACATCTGCATTGCACCAAACAGATTTACCTCATCCATAACATTAAATACCCTACAGTACACAAGGCCTAACTTAAAAGATACTAGCAAACCCAGATCTTAAATCAAAAACTATTAAACAAGCCCTGGATCAGGGGCATATCATTTTTTTCCAATAGTTAGATAGCAAATTCATAAAGGCAAAAGGAACACAAGGAAGTGAACAGATGCTGGGGTCTCCAATGCCAAAACAACAAATTCTGTAACAATGTGTTACAAGAAAAGTAAAACCCTGTTTTGGCCTCCCACCTGGGCATTCAATTCAATTCTTCTTTATATAGATACTGACTAATTGGTGCCACCCACACCATTTATGAATGCATCTGCTAACTAGCTAATGTTAGCAGCCAAAACACCAACGCTAAAACTTCAAATTGTGGGACTCAAAACCCAACTGTTGACATCATGGTGTGCAAGTGACAAACATACAAATGACTTTAATGTTTAACCATGTATTAACCATGTTAATACTACGTTGCTTCAAAATACATTTCAGTGAAACCTTAGATTCAGGCTACACGGCTCAACTTCACACAGCTGCACAGCAGTTAACAGCTGGTTTTGTATGTCGGCCCCCCATTTACTCTAATATGACTTAATGCAAGCGCCCAAACAAATGCAAATACATGCAGTCTATCCAAAACGTGTTTTTAATTAATGATTAATCACTTGCTGTCTACACCCACGCACATTCAAACACCACTTGATACTGGTCTGACAGGAGAAATAATGAACCAGTTAGCACTGAATAAACATGCTTGACACCATGTTTTTTATTTCAGTAATTAGAGGAAATTAGTAAGGCTTCCATCTGCATTTAAAATTGATTGTGGTGAAAACAAATGATTTACAGTTATACAAGCCTCTGTACATACATTTAATGATATACACTAATGAAATGGTTCTAGGAAAGTTAATACACTATGTAACGAATATCAAGCACATGAATTCAAATTGCTGACTGCCAAAATGAAGTACAGTACTCAGTGATCAGCTGCAGCTACAGCGTGCTCTCATTCTTTGGTGTGTGCTTCAGTCTACCAAAACATAATTGTTATTTTAAATAAATAAAGCAGACTAGGCCCAGTCTTGAGTCTTGTCTTCACCCCACTCACTTAAACTGCCAGCATAGTCAAGCATATTTAGTAGACTCGATTCAGTGAAATGTGGGGCATACTCAGAGTCACTTCTGACTATCCAGGCTCAATGAAAACCCTGTTTGAGAGAAGGAACTGAGTGGCGCATTTTTCTCACATATAAGACAGTTTGTATGTTTCCCATTTTAAACCAAAATCAGCCTAACAAACAAACGAAAGCTGTTGAAATTCTATCACATCAGATATTTAATTTCTTTCTTTCCTTTTGTTTTTGCATCTTGTAATTTATATACTGGTTTCAGTGACCTTAATAAATCTTAGTAACTTGAATCTTCATTGTTTTTTGTTCCCAAATTAATCACATCCTGATGTTTTCCCTCCAAGTCATGGTTGTCTCAGCTAATAATCCCGGCTGGCAGTGTACAGGACCGATGGTGGGAGAGCAAGTAACACTTAAATATTTGAGGCTGAAATCTGTATAAAAATTTGCACCTCCAAGTTGCGTAGTGTATCCAATGAATGTTGTCCTAATTGTGTCAAACCCAACCATGCTTTTGCTTAGTTGTGGTGAATAGGAAAGCTGTTTAGAGCTATTATTATTTATTTAATAAAGAAACCTACACAGTTTGTCTGATAAGCAATGTCTGAATAAGACATAATAATACAACGTAAGATTATGAGCCTAAAGACTTTTAACACTGTGTGTCCTCTAATGTCCCAAAATCATCTGATAGAGCATCCAGCTGCCAATTACATGCAACTGGTTCTAAGAAACTGTGGGATACACAGAAACGCTGCGCCCAGATGAATATGAATATTAGCTTTAACCCTCACATCTTTTAACTGCTTCATTCATTCTCTGTTTTGCGTTGACTTTTGAGCTGCAGGTCGTCCTCATTAAAAGAAATGTCTCCCACTGAGCTCCGATAAACCTCCAGAGAACCACTCTGTCACCGAAGCAAACATGTGAAAACTTCCAAATGTCACAAACATGAGTTTTGGGGCAGGCCCAGCGATTATGTTTTGTAGACATGTTATTATAGGATTAAGGTGAGGAATGAATTCAGCAGCTGTGGTGAAGTGATTTGGCCCCAGCTGAAACAATGATGTGGTCTAGATTTGCTACAGCTACAGAGATTTTTCTCTGCCTAGGCTCTTCTCCATGGCAACAGGAGCTGAGCGTATGTGTCACATTATTACCAGACACTGTTTTCTCTTTTGGGGATTTCAATAAACACACTTCCATACATTTAAGCTTTTTACAGTAATTAAAAACACTTCCAGAATCAGCTATCCCTACTCAGTGCCCAATTCATCATGTATACCTATGACACATTTCAACTTTCATATCAACTTTACCTTTATACATTTTTCCAGCACTGACAAATGTTTGATCATCCTCTGACTGCCTAGTCCAGGAGTCTGCAACCTTTAACACCCAAAGAGCCACTTGGACCCGGTTTCCACACAAA